GTCATTTTAGTTGCATTTGGGTAGTTACAACGTCCTTGTAGGATTTGATTCTGAATACAATTCCAAATGTACACTATAGTCCCTAAACCCCTTTACAGCATTGGGGGTTGAATAATTTTGGACACAACTGTAGTTAATAATTTACCACTTTTCAGTGCATTCTGGGCATTTGGGAGGTTCTCCTGTGCTTATGTTTAAAAACGCTTCTAAACGCACATAAACGTGTTATGCAAATGCGGCTAAACAGACGTTTTTTAACCTGCGTCTTCCAGCAGTTTCCATCATTCAGAAGTGTCCCGTGTACATGGGGCCTAAGCGGTACATAGTACGGGCTGCTAAATGTATCACTATCTGCTACCATTGGAGGTTCAGCTCAGCCAAACACTTTAGCCAGGCTGTTTGCCGAACCTCTGAGCAAGAAAAATTCAGTCCAAACATGGGTTTGGACCAAACCAGCAACTAATCCCTAACTGTGAGCCAGTCACTGCCTGCTGCATTGTAGAGTGTCATGTGTCCACAGTTCTTCCATGTCTACAATCTCTGAACCAGAGGAGTAGATAAAGGGGGGGCTATGGGGGACCTATAATTTGCATGCACAGGGCGCCACCTTATTTTTGCCTTCTGGGTGTCCAAGGTTGATGACCCCAGAAACGAAAAAATGACCTACAACCCTGGTCTGAACCTTGAGGGAAAATCTCTCCTTTTTGGGGGGATGTAGAACCCCCCGAGCTCCGATCATTCTGCATCACTGGTAACCCACCTGCACCAATTGAAGAGAGAGAGATATAATTTCCCCCGGTACAAATCATTAGTAACACCTCATCTGGAATATGCAGTTCAGTTTTGGCCACCAATTCACAAAAAGAACATTGGGGAACTGGAGAAAGTACAGAGAAGGGCAACCAAACTGATAAGAGGCATGGAGGAGATCAGCTATGAGGAAAGATTAGAGGAACTGAATGTATTCTCTCTTGAGAAGAGGAGATTAAGGGGGGATGTGATCACCATGTATAATATATAAGGGGGGATATGATCTCCATGTATAATACATAAGGGGGGATATGATCTCCATGTATAATACATAAGGGGGGATATGATCTCCATGTATAATGCAGAAGGGGGGGATATGATCTTCATGTATAATACATAAAGGGGGATATGATCTCCATGTATAATACATAAGGGGGGATATGATCTCCATGTATAATACATAAGGGGGATATGATCTCCATGTATAATACATAAGGGGGATATGATCTCCATGTATAATACATAAGGGGGGGGGATATGATCTCCATGTATAATACATAAGGGGGGATATGATCACCATGTATAATATATAAGGGGGGATATGATCTCCATGTATAATACATAAGGGGGGGATATGATCTCCATGTATAATACATAAGGGGGGATGTGATCTCCGTGTATAATACATAAGGGGGGATGTGATCTCCATGTATAATACATAAGGGGGATATGATCACCATGTATAATACATAAGGGGGATATGATCTCCATGTATAATACATAAGGGGGGATATGATCTCCATGTATAATACATAAGGGGGGATATGATCTCCATGTATAATACATAAGGGGGGATATGATCTCCATGTATAATACATAAGGGGGGATATGATCTCCATGTATAATACATAAGGGGGATATGATCACCATGTATAATACATAAGGGGGATATGATCTCCATGTATAATACATAAGGGGGATATGATCTCCATGTATAATACATAAGGGGGATATGATCTCCATGTATAATACATAAGGGGGGGATATGATCTCCATGTATCATACATAAGGGGGGGATATGATCTCCATGTATAATACATAAGGGGGGATATGATCACCATGTATAATACATAAGGGGGGATATGATCTCCATGTATAATACATAAGGGGGGGATATGATCTCCATGTATAATACAAAAGGAGGGATATGATCTCCATGTATAATACATAAGGGGGGATATGATCTCCATGTATAATACATAAGGGGGGGATATGATCTCCATGTATAATACATAAGGGGGGATATGATCTCCATGTATAATACATAAGGGGGATATGATCTCCATGTATAATACATAAGGGGGATATGATCTCCATGTATAATACATAAGGGGGGGATATGATCTCCATGTATAATACATAAGGGGGGATATGATCACCATGTATAATATATAAGGGGGGATATGATCTCCATGTATAATACATAAGGGGGGGATATGATCTCCATGTATAATACATAAGGGGGGATGTGATCTCCGTGTATAATACATAAGGGGGGATGTGATCTCCATGTATAATACATAAGGGGGATATGATCACCCATGTATAATACATAAGGGGGGATATGATCTCCATGTATAATACATAAGGGGGGATATGATCTCCATGTATAATACATAAGGGGGGATATGATCTCCATGTATAATACATAAGGGGGGATATGATCTCCATGTATAATACATAAGGGGGGATATGATCTCCATGTATAATACATAAGGGGGATATGATCACCATGTATAATACATAAGGGGGATATGATCTCCATGTATAATACATAAGGGGGATATGATCTCCATGTATAATACATAAGGGGGATATGATCTCCATGTATAATACATAAGGGGGGGATATGATCTCCATGTATCATACATAAGGGGGGGATATGATCTCCATGTATAATACATAAGGGGGGATATGATCACCATGTATAATACATAAGGGGGGATATGATCTCCATGTATAATACATAAGGGGGGGATATGATCTCCATGTATAATACAAAAGGAGGGATATGATCTCCATGTATAATACATAAGGGGGGATATGATCTCCATGTATAATACATAAGGGGGGATATGATCTCCATGTATAATACATAAGGAGGGATATGATCTCCATGTATAATACATAAGGAGGGATATGATCTCCATGTATAATACATAAGGAGGGATATGATCTCCATGTATAATACATAAGGGGGATATGATCTCCATGTATAATACATAAGGGGGGATATGATCTCCATGTATAATACATAAGGGGGGATATGATCTCCATGTATAATACATAAGGGGGATATGATCTCCATGTATAATACATAAGGGGGGATATGATCTCCATGTATAATACATAAGGGGGATATGATCTCCATGTATAATACATAAGGGGGATATGATCTCCATGTATAATACATAAGGGGGATATGATCTCCATGTATAATACATAAGGGGGATATGATCTCCATGTATAATACATAAGGGGGGGATATGATCTCCATGTATAATACATAAGGGGGATATAATCTCCATGTATAATACATAAGGGGGGATATGATCTCCATGTATAATACATAAGGGGGGGATATGATCTCCATGTATAATACATAAGGGGGATATAATCTCCATGTATAATACATAAGGGGGGATATGATCTCCATGTATAATACATAAGGGGGGATATGATCTCCATGTATAATACATAAGGGGGATATAATCTCCATGTATAATACATAAGGGGGGATATGATCTCCATGTATAATACATAAGGGGGATATGATCTCCATGTATAATACATAAGGGAGGATATGATCTCCATGTATAATACATAAGGGGGGATATGATCTCCATGTATAAATACATCAGTGGTTCATATAGTGAACTCGGTGTAGTTATTCACCCTGAGGTCATCACAGAGGACAAGGGGGGCGCTCTTTACGTCTGGAGGAAAAGAAATGTAACCTCCAAACACGGAAAGGTTTCTTCACAGTAAGAGCTGTAAGAATGTGGAATAGACTCCCTCAAGAGTTGGTTGTGGCCAGCTCAGTGGATTGCTGTAGGAAAGTCCTGGATTCTTTCTTGGATACACAGAATATAACTGGATATAACATTTATAGGGAAAGTTGATCCAGGGAATATCCGATTGCCTCTCGGGGGATCAGGAAGGAATTTTTTCCCTGCAGGAGCAAATTGGATCGTGCTTTGCTGGGTTTTTTTGCCTTCTTCTGGATCAACTGTAGGTGTAGGATTATAACTTTGTTTTTTTATGGTTGAACTGGATGGACTTTTGTCTTTTTTCAGTCAGACTAACTATGTAACTATGTAATTGTTAACAAAATGTTTGTCAAAATAAAGATCCGCTGCCAGCAGTCTGCCCAAACTCAGAAACTTTTTACATTTGACAGGTTCAGCTGGGAAGAGTCGGAAAAAGAGCCTAAACCATGTCTAGATATGAGCCGCGGCATCACAATTTTATTTTCCCTCTAGATTGTCGAAAAGCCGTTTTTTTTTCCCCTTAAATCTATTTATATCTCATCTCTATTACTGAGGAACAACAAGTGTACATTGTCACCGATAGCAGCGGCAGACGTATCCGACAGCCGCGAGGAGCCTTCATCGCCTCTTATTAGAGGGAAGACTTCATTGCGGCCGCCTGCCTTGGAAATATCGCTCCAATAATTCAAGGTTACAACTGCGCTTGTAACGGATCGGCGTGACATTATAGAAAAAACAAAAAGTCAAAAGTATCAAATGAAACCATTTACATGGAACCCGTGCGATGTCCGAGAGCCGTGATTGGTTTTAAGAAGGTCCACTGGCAGCGCGCTTGTTGTCAACTGCTCTGCCTGGAAATGCTGGCGCCCCGGCTTCCTCTAAACCTGAAACAAGCAGGCAGACAGTGAAAGTTGAACAAATGTACCTGTACATGGTCAGAGGCTTAGAAACTACAGCATGGGAGCCCGACAACTGGTGTTCTCAGAGGGAGGTCAACGATGGAAGTCTGTCTTGTCATGATAGGTGCATTTTAATGGGGGGCAGGGGCAGACTGACAACTCATGGGGCCCCCCGGGCAATAAAAGATCATGGGGCCCCTGCAGGGGCAGACTGACAACTCATGGGGCCCCCGGGCAATAAAAGATCATGGGCCCCCTGCAGGGGCGGACTGACAACTCATGGGACCCCGGGCAATAAAAGATCATGGGGCCCTGCAGGGGCGAACTGACAACTCATGGGGCCCCCGGGCAATAGGGGATTATGGGGCCCCTGTGTCCTTGCCCAAACTCAAAAAAGCCTATGAAAAAAGGTACCAGGGGCATCTCATGGGGCCCCCTACTGACCCGGGGCCCTCGGGCAGTGCCCGAGTTTCCAAATGGTCAGTCCGCCCCAGGGCCCCTGTGTCCTCGCCCACACCCAAAAAAGCCTATGAAAAAGCCTATGAAACGCACCAGGGGTATCTCATGGTGCCCCCTACTGACCCCGTGCCCCTTGGGCAGTGCCCAAGTACCCAAATGGTCAGTCTGCCCCTGATGGGGGGTCACTCCAATGGAACAGTGAACAGTGCAGAGTTGGCCCCTGGAATCTTGATCATCTGGCACTTGAATCTCCCATTGCTGCCGGTGTTGTTTCTGTCCATTTGGGGAGTTTTAGTGTTTCAGCATCTGGTTAATTCTGTATAATATAAAATAAATCCCAAGAACTAAGCACAGGGATGGTGGGAACCCCTCATAATGGACACAGCAAGTATATGGACCCAGGATGGTGGGAACCCATCAGAATAGGCACAGCAAGTGTACAGACCAGGCAACCCAGGATGGTGGCAACCATTCATGATGGGTACAGCAGGTGTGCAGACCTGAGAACTCAGCACAGGGATTGTGGAGACCCCTCATAAATGGACACAGCAGAAGTGAAGACCTGGGAACTCAGCACAGGGATGGTGGGAAACCTTCATAAGGGCACATCAAGTATATGGACCCAGGATGGTGGGAACCCATCAGAATAGGCACAGCATATGTACAGACCGGGCAACCAAGGATGGTGGCAACCATTCATGATGGGTGTAGCAGGTGTGCAGACCCGGAAACTCAGTACAGGGATGGTGGAGACCACTCATAATGGACAGAGCCAATGAGCAGACCTGGAAACTCAGTGCAGGGATGGTTGGAATCCGTTATAAGGGCACAGCAAGTGTGTAGGCCAAAGAATGCATCACAAGGATGATGGGAATGCCTCATAAGGGGCACAGCAAGTATGCAGGCCAAGGAACGCATCACAGGGATGATGGGAGCCCCTCATACTGGAGACTACAAGTGTACAGATCCAGGAACTCAGCACAGGAATGGTTTGCACCCCTGACAATGGACACATCAGGCATACAGATCTGAAAACTCAGTGCAGAGATGGTGGGAACCCCTCATAATGGTCAGAGCAATTGTGCAGACCCAAAAAAAATCAGCTACGGAGTGGTGGGAACCCCTCATAATGACCACAACAGGTGTGCGCAGCCAGAAAATCAGTTCTGCAATGTGAATCCCTCATAATGGGCACAGCAGGTATATAGAGCCGGGGAACTCAGGGATGGTGGAAACACACACACTGATCCAGGAGTTCTCAACCAACTTTCAGAAAATGTATTTCGTTTCTTGATTTACTGAATATGACTTCAGCACTCTGTAATATTGACATTGCAGCATCGGGAAGCATCTGTTTCATATTTTACAGCCTTCAAACCGTGCCCGGTGTCAGCCATAGTCTGAAAATATTACTACTCTTTTTTTAATAATAGAATGGTTTACTTTTTGTTTGTTTTTTTGTTGTTTTTCTTTCTCTCTTTTGAAATTGTAAAATATTTCCTCCAATATATTCAGAATGTTCTGTGCGTTCCCTGAGCGTCTCCCACACACAGGGCGAGCCAGGCGTGAAAATTCAAATATGGAGATACTGTATGTGTAAGTTGTGACTGGCTCAGTGCTCTCTGTACAGCACTCCAGTATATGTCAGAGCTACATAAATGCATAATAATAGTGTGTCACTGTCAGGGGCGCAGATATTTTCTTCCTACAAAGGCAGCCTGAGAAAAATAGGTACTATTCAGTACAGCTTCCTCCAGTACAGACTCATTTCCCCCCTCCCACACCCTTAGCATAGCTCCCCATTACAGCTCTTCCCCCTTAGCACACTTCCACACCAGTACAGCTCCCCACTTCCCCCCCCCAGTACAGATCTCCCCCCAGTACAGATCCCTCAGTACAGATCTCCCTCCCTTCTTAGTACAGTTCTCCCAGCACAGACCTCCCTCCCTTCTTTGTACAGCTCCCCCAGCACAGATCTCCCCTCCTTAGTACAGCGTCCCCAAGTACAGCTCCCCCCTTAGCACACCTCCCTCCCCCCTGTACAGATCCCCCCTCCTTAGTACAGCTCACCCTGGTACAGCTCACTTTGTTTCATATCTCATCCCTTTCCATAGCACAGATCTCCCTCAGTACAGCTCTCCCAGTACAGATCTCCCTTAGTACCAGGGGCGGACTGACCATTTGGAAACTCAGGCACTGCCTGAGGGCCCGGGATCAGTAGGGGGCCCCATGAGATGCCCCTGGTTCCTTTTTCATAGGCTTTTTTGAGTTTGGGCAAGGACACAGGGGCCCCATGATCCCCTATTGCCCTGAGGCCCCATGAGTTGTCAGTCCGCCCCTACAGTCCCCCAGTACAGATTTCCCCCCAGTACAGATCTTCCTTGCTTTACCACAACTCCCCCCAATATAGATCCCCTTAGTAGAGTCCCCTTATAAAGAAACTCCCTCCTTAGTACGGATTTCCCCCAGGCCAGATCCAGCCCCAAGTACAGATCACCCTCCCCCAGTACATACCTCTCTTCCCCTACTTCAGATCCCCCTTCTTACAGCCCCCCAGTGCAGCATTCCCCTCCAGTACAGATCTTCCTCTCCTTAGCACAACTCCCCCAGTATAGACCCCCTCTTAGTAAAGCCCCCTATACAGAACTCCCTCCTTAATAAAGATCCCCCCAGTCCAGATCCAGTCCCAAGTACAGATCACCTTCCCCCAGTAAATATCTCTCTTCCCCTACTACAGATCACCTTCACCCAGTACAGCTCCCCCCAGTATTGATCTTTTTCCCTTTTATACACTTCTCCCCAGTATAGATCCCCCAGAACAGATCTCTTCCCCCAGTGTATATATCTTTTCTCCTCAGTACAGATCCCTCCAGTGGTTTTCCCAGTACAGATCCCCCAGTAAAGATCTTTTCCCTTTTTTCACTTCTCCCCAGTATAGATCCCCCAGAGCAGATGTCTTCCCCCAGTGTATATATCTTTTCTCCCCAGTACAGATCCCTCCAGTGGATCCCCCAGTACAGATCCCCCTCCCCCAGTACAGATATCTCTCCTTCACACTAACCAGTCAAATCAGGTAGTTCATTGTGGGGGGAAGTTACTTGTAAACTGAACCAAAGAAGAGAACAGAAGAGCCACCCTTCCTCTGACCTGAACCCTTATCCCGCTCCTTATCTACTCCTTGGGTGACTTTGGTGGGACATTAAAGCATAAGCTCCTCTGGTGCAGAGGCTGATGCATAGTGTTCATTGTACAGCACTATGGAAATTGTCAGAGCTATATAAATGTATAATAATAATACTGTATTACTGTGGTGGGACAGTAGAGTGTAAGCTCCTCTGGTGCAGAGGCTGATGTGACTGGCTCAGCGTTCTCTGTACAGCACTGCAGTATATGTCTGAGCTATAAAAATGTATTAGTGTATAGTGACTGTGGTGGGCAGGGGAGTCCCTAGGGTTGGTGTCACCCGGTGCGGTAACATTTGGTGTCACCCCTCCGATGATCCCCACAGGATGGATCGAATCTGCGGATTGAGCATAATGGACCGGAGTCCGATCCATTATGCTCCCTAATCCGCAGATCTGATCCATCCTGTGGGGAGCGTCGGCTTGCAACCTATTCGGGGTTAACTGATCTCTCCACGAGCTCCACGAAAAGGAAAGTTTTAAAGCAAGCCGATGATCCCCGCAAATTGATCGGATCTGCGGATTGAGCATAATGGACTGGAGTCCGATCCATTATGCTACCCAATCCGCAGATCTGATCCATCCTGCGGGGATCGTCGGCATGCAACCTATTGGGGGTTAACTGATCTCTCCACAAGCTCCACGAAAAGGAAAGTTGTAAAGCAAGCCGACGATCCCCGCAGGGTGGATCAGATCTGCAGATTGGGGAGCATAATGGATCGGACTCCAATCCATTATGCTCAATCCGCAGATCCGATCCATTTGCGGGGATCGTTGGCTTGCTTTAAAACTTTCCTTTTCGTGGAGCTTGTGGAGAGATCAGTTAACCCCGAATAAGTTGTACTTGGGACTGGATCTACTGGGGGGATCTTTACTAAGGAGGAGGTTCTGTATAGGGGGCTTTACTAAGAGAGGGTCTATACTGGGTTGTGCTAAGCAGAAGATCTGTACTGGAGGGGAATGCTGTACTGGGGAGGGTTCAGTGTAACCCCATGCAATAGGTGTCACCCGCTGCGGCGCGCACCCCGCACCTGCCTAGGGACGCCACTGGTGGTGGGGCATTAGCGTGTTCTCTAAGGAGGTCACTTTGCTGGGCAGGCCAACCCTGTACTGGGAAAACCCAGGAAGCACTACAGGCAGTACTAGGGGAGACAGGCTAATTCCTGTATTGGGAGAGCCCAGGAACCACCATGGGCAGTACTAGGGGGGCAGGCCAATTCCTGTAGTGAGAGAGACCAAAAACCACCAAGGGCAGTACTAGGGGAGACAGGCTAATCCCTGTACTGGGAGAGCCTGGGAACCACCATGGGCAGTACTAAAGACATGCTGGTAGGTTAATTTGGTCCTGTCTAAATTGGGATGGCCCTAGTATGTGAGTTAGGGACCTTAGATTGTACACCCCCTTGAGGGTCAGGGACTGATGTGAATGTACAATATATATGTAAAGCGCTGCGTAAATTGATGGCGATATATAAGTACCTGTAATAAAATAAATAATCTCCACCATCAGGTTTCTCATTTGCCTGGCGTGCAGGACTGCAGCCTCCTGTCTATGGAGCTCCTCATGCTAGCTTGCGTACGACACCCTCCCGATAAACCTTGAGCGCTGGAAACAAAATGTTCCAGCTGATTGGCTTTTGCTGTCTGTTTCTCCTTTTTTTTTTCCTGACACTCGTTTTACCGCTTTTAATTTTCCAAAGATCAGCAGGAAACCTTCGAACAATTCTTGGATAATTTTACGCCCACCACCAAGATTAGTATAAAAATACTGATTTTTTTTTATTGATTGATGTTTTTCTTTAATGTCTCGGTGGCATAGTAAGGGTCGAATAACTTGACTTTTGACAACTTCTTTATTTTTGCATGATTTCTTTTTTTAAACGACAACTCTTCCGGCTCACCTATGGTTTTCGTAACGTGACTCACGGCCTTCCAGAGCGCGAGCCTTTTAAGCGCCGAGTGCAGAGGTGTGCCCCCGCAGGTGTTAATGCTCCGATGAATCATAAAATAAACATTTGTTAGGAATGGCCACCCCCGCATTATATTAATTACATAGGAATACAATTCCTTATATATATATATATTTTTTTTATTTTTTTGCAAGGCATGTTGGGTATTTGGATGTCGAATGTTAAGATAATTTCCTTGATTTATGCCTATAATTTGGGCCCGGTCTTTCGCAGGATCAAAGCGGGCTAATAGGCTTTTTATAGATAATGTAAGACGAAGCTTTTTAATCAATTCTGGGAGTTTTTTCAAATAAAATGTATCTATTATTAATGCCAAAATTAAAAGCAGTGTGATTTACATGCTGTTCTTATAGTCAGGAGTCATTGAGAGGATGAATAGAGACACAAAGGAAAAAAAAAATCAAGGAATGCAATATACTGCCGAAATAAAGCGCTACATCGCGGCATCAATACGCCGAACAAAGAATCTTATTATGTTCTGAATTATTTAGATTCTTCATTGTCTTTTCTTTTCATTTATCACTGATGACTCCAAACAGATCTATATGTATAGAAAGATGGAGTATTTGTATCCAAAACTAAATCATAATATTACTCTTAGATTGTAAGCT